ATAATTCCTAGTGTCAGCGTCTATTACCGCACTGTGGCAGCCAGGCCGACACAACATTGTTCGCGAATGCTTTACGAGTTTAGAAGGGGACATTGCGAATCAGTGCGCGTGATATAGATGACACGAAACGCGCAGAATGCGTTTCGGGATCGTAGATTGGATTGCCCGGTTAAATGCCAGCTGCAGTCGTATTTATAGCGTGGAGGGTTTCAGCCGCGTGCCCGCACGAGTGAGTCACTCGGCCACACGTCTGTCGGGACACCCGCCGTTCACGCCCAACTCGACGCAACAAATCCACGAAGAAAGAACCCACACAGACAATAGACGAAGCGACGTACGTCTCGGTCAGCCGATCGAATGGAAAGCCGGGGGTCGCCAATTATTTTCTAATTGCACACACAGCTTCGAATGTCATCGATATTGACGTGACCGATTTCCGGCGGCGTCGGTTTTCTAGACTTTTGGGTCAGGCACAACGAAACGTCATTGTTTAGTGAGGTAACCTGTCAGAAGTGGGGTCGGCCGGAGAAATTTGAATTAGCATGTGGCACTAACTGCAGGCAAGCATGGTGGATTGAGAGAAAGTTGCAATGTCCTTTATTTTTGGAAGGTCGATAAAGCTGTGGCGATTATCCGGTGCACGGGCGAAAGGGGTTTTAATTAAACTAACTTCACAGCTACACTTTAAATTGAAGAATATTTTTGGCGACCCGCAAATACACCAATTACTACGGATGATGTGGCGACCGCGTCACCGATTGTGATCGGCCGAGCTGATACCTTTAATTAATATTTACCTCGTGCCACCGTTTCCATACTGTTTTGTCACATCGGATTCCGTTACTTTAGCAGGCCGATATCGTTAACCTTATTTACCAGAAAATTTAAGTGAGGTTTATGAGGAGCTTACTTCGCCAGTATGAAATGAAAACATTTTTGTCTGTTGCCCATAATCAATTAGGCCGTATTGACTAAAGGTAACGCTGATGGTGGATAACATTACAGCAGAAAATCACGCTCCGTAATAACTTTGTTAATCGATTAAGTAATCAAAATAATTTACTCAGTGCGAGCGGATTACGGTATTTATTCGTTATTTATTGCGCCCGCTTAAAAAGAAGAAGAGCCCAGTCTTCGACATTAGCACGCGAAAGGTCGCGTGTCGCGGACCGTTTCGTTTCAGCGTCTTATTTAAATTTGGGACACGTCGACCGGTTCGTAAGGATGCACACGAGTGTATAGTTTGGTTCCAATAATATGACTTCCTTAGCGCACTGTTACAACATTTATCAACCCAGATTCGTCGAGCGGAGCGCCCGTCATCGAAAAATAATGTTCGCGCGGGTCACCTTGAACTGGACATTATCAGCGGTGAAAGTACTTGTTAGCATAATTGGGGTGCTCGTTTGGAATTGCACGCTTATTTTGCATGTCCTGATAATCGTACGACTCCGATAGACAGGCATTAAATCAGGCCCTTGTTCGTGTATATAAAACAAAAGACATTGTGGTATTCAGTTTGTTTGTTGTGGTATTATATAAGTTGATCAATTAAAAAATGAAATTAAAATGATACAAGCGAACTTTTGCGATTACCATGGCAACGTTCGTGGTTTTTTCAACTTGCTTCATGGTTCTTACTGTTGATATATTTATTTTTAATACGATATATTTTTGAATATTTTATAAATTTGTTTGGCGTAGAAATTATCATCATTTCAAATTTCTTAGCCGTTGCAGAGTGATGTGAAAAAGACGATCTTTCTTAAGAAACAAACAAGCTTCCACGGCAAAAATAGCAATTGTAGGGTCATAGTTTCTGAACTCATTTTTTCAATAGGCAATGTTTCAGTATTTGATTAAAACTATATCGATCATTCGGACGTTCGGAAAGCCGAAATTTTGTGCATCGATTCGAACTTTTCATTTTAAAACAAATCTAATGTCCAGTCATATCCTATGATATGGATATGTCAAAATATTCATAAATCATCGGTAAAGTCCGAATGAAAGTTTTTCAATTTCTTAAACGGGTGTTTAAATATTTGCTTTTTGTTTTTGTACAATGATCCATGGATGGCGGATGTAAAATTCAACCTATGGCAAGAGGCGCTTTAGCCGTGCTTGGTTAGCCACCTTATCCATAAAAAGATTAAAGCATCGGTTTAGTACAGTCTTTTTAGCTCCTGCGAAGTCCCGCGAATAAGTAATTGTAATTGGTTTACATTTAAATAAGACGCTGAAACGACTGTACGTGTGAACTAATAACTTATTCGCCACCTTTTCCCACAAGAGTATCACATACTTTTTGCCGGTCTTTTGTATGTAATAAGATACCAATTGCGCTGGCAGCTATGTGATAACCGCCACACATAGACATTTGCTACACCCGTAGGGCAGATGCGTTACCAGCTTTTAATAAAGTCAGCCACGGTCTTCTGTCAGACTTCGATATTTCCTCAAGCAATTAATGCAATAGCCAAAGTTGTTGCACGACTTTGAGTTTTGCCTTGGGACGTATTGTATTATTGTGATGTATATTTGTTTTGTGAGTTAAACACACACCCTGTAAAGGTTGGCAACACTGTTGGGCCAGCCGCCTTGGTTATCAAATGCATTCAGTTGAATCGCTTGCTGGTTTGCAGTCCCAATAAAAAGAAGTAAAATTAAACCGAAACTTAAATCGAACATTGCGTGTAGAACCTAATTGACCACGTGTGCCCGTAAAAGGAAAGTTCGACAGCCCCGAAAGATAACCAAGAACTCGCAATTAACACACAGTGATTGTTTCCAATTTAAAAGTTGAATGAATTCAATTGTCGGGTGTGTTCTTTATTGAACTCCGCATGCACGATGACTCAGCAGTCACCGTTACTGCCCAGTTATTCGTGTGCCAGCAAGAATCGGTATATACACTAGTCTCAGTCTCTCCCGAACTCCCAATGGTTTCGTATAACAAGAAATATTAATGTCCTCAAATATTAGAGAATTTTTTTATTATTTTGTTTGTTTGAGTAATGCCTTTGGTGTGCACGTATTCAAACTATTGAGTTTCTAGTTTGCGATAAAAAAGAACTTTTTCGTCGTTGCGTTGGCGGAGGTTAAAGCCATGTTTTATATTCGGCGCCACTGGTCGTGGGTTCAATTTCCGGCTGAGAAAAGTTTATGTGAAGAACAGTTTTTACTCCAGACCTATAAGGTTGTGTATACAGTTCTATACTACGTATTAAACTTTTGGTTTTTTCGAGTTACGAGTGATAAAATATAATTAACAGCTATGTCTTAAGCCATGCCATATATCACAACCAGTATCGTCAAAAGCGCTTCAGCGCTATGATCTTCTGACACAAATTTTTAGCTTTTGTTGTTCACTGTACAATAAATTCTTGAAAATCATCAAGAATTTATTTAATAAAATAAATTATTAGAGTATATATTAGCTTGTAAAGTTGACCATATAAAGTAGCTCAATCCGAAATCTTTACTTATGGCTGGTACCTTCGGTAAATCGAATGAATCTCATAAAGACTGGTGTACAAACTGACTATCAACCCACTCGAGTGAAGTCGAGTAACGACCAAATCGAGTTGTTCAATATTTCTGCATTCTAATAGATAGAACACCTCGTAGGTCGTAAACAGGAGCTGGGTTATAAATTTGCCAGGATGACATGTTTATGGGTCTGTCATGGAGTATATTTTAGACTGAAGTCGGGATAAACTCAATAAAACGGGCGAGCTGATGAGCTGGGGCATAAAGATATCAGTGAATCAATATAGTCCCGTGTCACCTTTTACTGCCTTCCATTATGTTTTATGTCATTCGCTTCTAAATCACTATTTTTTTATCGCGTTTATATTCCAATTGAACAAGCTTCCCCCTTCTTTGTGCTGTTAATATTAGAGTCCGTAGGTTTACGGTGGTAGGGCCACGCATCAGCCTCGGCTGTTGCACGAATGGGCAGGCTCGTCCGGGTAAGTACCTCGACCTCACAGAAGACCGGCATCAAGTGGAAGTATAATACTTTCGCGTTTCGTCTGGTGAGTGAGGTAGCCGGAGCCCATTTTTCAAAAGGTTGTCAACGCACCTGCAACCCTCGGGTGTAGCAGATGTCCATGGGCGGCGCTAATCACTTAACATCAGGTGAACCGCCTGCTCGCTTGGAAACTTTTCACATAAATATCGATTCAATGTAGTCTTAAAACGAATGTTTGTTATCTCTATACGACGTTCGTGGTACTGAGTACATTATAATGTTGTGTTGAATTAAATATCGATTTTTCATTTTTCAAGTGCGGTATTTTTACAGTATAACTTTAAGTATAACATTTCAAAATACAAAAACAAATTATATTATCGTTAAGGAGTAGGAAAGTAGGCCGATATTATTTTAGTACGTTTTAGTCTCTGGTTAGTTCTGTTTGAAATTACTAAGTAACATGGCTTTACTGATAATAAACGATTGCCGGATATACATTTGGCGTTTAATTGGGTTCTGGTCGCGGCTCAACCATTGGTGTTAACGCAATATCCCTTTGTCTGCTTTCCCTCTAATTGTGACTTGTAGTTATAAATTGATTCAGGATTGCAACTTTTGTAACACTTCTTGCATTTAGCTGCTAATTGCTGCTTTCCCCGTGATACCGATATGAATTCATTAGCCTTGATGTGTTTTATCAATTGAGATAAAATGTAAAACATAGGAGTTGCCACTCGCTTTCATTATGATTTAAACATGCTGTTATTAATAATCTAGTAGTACTGCTCCCACTTCTAGGCTTGTCGGGTTTTTTGCTCAAATGACAGAGGGTGCAGTCTGAAAATACCTTTCACATTTGTTCGTACAAAAACAATGTGCAATATTGTATCTCAAGTGGAAATATAACATAAGAAAATATACTGCAATAACGATAAATTTAATTTCACTCATCAATTAAATATGTTTCTTGTCACTTTTGCTCGCGTTAATGTTTCTTATATAGATGTTATTGTTGTTACAGCTGTCGTGGTGCGGTACTTGACAAAGCGTTACATAGGAGAATATAGCTCAACTGGCGGTGAGTAGAAATTATGTAGACGTGCCTTTGTTTTTGGCATTCAAATGTACACAACACGCGCATCAGATCGGATGGGCATAATTATTAACAATGTGCGACAGACAGATATTAATAGGCTTGACGATGGGCCCTCGGGGAGGGTTGAGCTTCTAATGCCAAGCTCTGCATGCCAATGCACGAGTTTATTTGCGAATATTGGCAACTGTATTGGCGGCTGCGCCATGCCAAGGCTGAACGCCGGCGCCCGATACTGTAGGGACGTTGACTTTTCACGAGTATTTGATTTAAAAACAACCGATCTCGCGTATAGATGAGATAACGTAGAAAACATTGCTGTAAGCCGAAGAGTGCTCGAATTTAGCTCAATAAACCCTGCGGTTGTGTCATTGAAGCGTAATGATGTATGCACAGGTTTATAACCTAATTTTCATATGCGTATAAAAATCTTAAAGTCGTGGTGTCCCTTTCACAGATTTTCTATACCAACATCGGGTAGCTTTCGACGGGGCCACATCCGAAGTTGAGGTTTTGGACACGTGTGGTTGCGCGGTAAATATTCATATCAGTTTTATCATATTAGCTTCACATATTTTTTCATTAATTTTTTGGTTTCGTATCCGTTTCTAATTGGGTTCAATGTTTGATAGAAACGCGGGTGCCTAGCAGAACATCTGCGTTGGGGCGACGCGTTCGCGGTAGTATACTCAGTTTGCGACCGCCGATCGTTTTTGGCAGCGGCCGAATTACTCGCACTGTTGGAGCGGACGAGGCTTCCTGGTTGCGCTGCTGTTACATTGCTAGGAAACAAGAGAGATCTGGAACACGCTAGGTTAGTTACACCACATTTTTTTTACTTTGAGTCACTATTTGTTAAGATTAAAATGCGTATCACCGTACACACAGGCTAAAAAAACTCAGTGAATATTGGTAGTTATTTCAGTTTTATATTATACTTAAAGTAAATTAACAGTCTATTTATGCCCCAATGCCGGGCACAGGCCCCTTTTGTACTATGATATTAGGGCTTAGTCCACCACGCGGCCCCACTTGGATTAGCAGATTATATAATTTCATAATATTTTGTGTTTGCCATGTTTGTCTTCAACGTTTACGTGACAAGTCAGAACTTAAAACTGCAATTAACAATTTCAATAGTGTTGGCACCAATATTTGAGCTCAGTTTGTTCGAATTACGAACTAAAAGTGAGCGCCCGGACACTGAGCTGTCTGTTCTTCGAATACGATTGATTCACTTTGCTTTATTTGTTCCATATACATTTATACGGCCGCGTTTTCCTTTAAAAGGGTGGTTAAGGCAGAGGAGGGTCAAGAGCTGTCGCTTCGGTTCGGGTGCCAGTTCTACGAGGTGTCTGCGGCGGAGTCGTGCGCTGGCGCGGCGCTCGCCTTCCACGCGTTGCTGAGGGAGGCGCGCGCTCTGGCGCTCCTGCTGCCCGCGCCGCGACGCAAACTGGCCGCCTACTCCGTCTCTAAGGTAATAAAGGAATAGAAATGTTTGTATTATAAGGTACTTGCAAGTAGAAAATGCTATAGTGTTTTCCGCAGGCTCTGTCACCGATGACGTTTTAAACTATCTCCGTCTCTATGGTTAAAAAATCATCATCTATAGATTACTCGGCCTCTGAGATACGAACAAAATGTGCACTCCAAATGTCGATTTTCATCATGTGCATGATAGATAATAGTAGTATTTGAACTGGTCTTAGTGATATTCGAACACGCTACGTGTTCGAATACCAGTGAAATGAAACAAGGTATTGTTACCATTCGTTTTTCCGACGTGTAAAAGTCACTGTCTCGTATTATGACGGCACGCTGCTCAGCGTTGTCACTTTGAAATGTGAAAGATTGATAGAATTGTCTACCTTAGTAATAAATGGCTTAGTAGATTTAGTTATCTAATGTCTTCCCCCCTTCAGGTCATCGGCACAATTCTCGGCCTGAGCAACAAAAGCGTGAGGAAGAAACGGCCGTCCTTAAGCATATGATCTGCTTTATGATGTTCATCTGGATTTCTTTATTCACTCCGCGGCAGGAGTATCGTTTCTTTCTGCGAAGCGCAGAACACTTGTTTGTTGGTGGAGAGCAGCTTATGTGTTGCGGTTCGGAAATGACTTAGATGGAATCTCGGTACGAGGATTGTTAAAGATGGCATAAATCTGCTTTTTATAAATCACTATTACTATGGTACGAATTGTTATTCACCAATTTAGTATATAAATAATAGCCTTTTCTTTCTTTGGAACAAAGAAAGTTTGCTTACGAGTCTACATTTTTATTTGTTCTATTGAAACCTGTCAATTATCTCACAGGAAGTTTTTGTTACGAAAAAAGCCTTATTGAATTTTTGTAAATACTGCACATTAGACTGATAGACTTTCAGACACGTCGAATGAGACATAAGTGTTTGGATGGGAACAAGTTAAAGAATTTATTAAAAAACTTTTGAATCTGGTAGTTATGTTAAATGAAATATTTATTTTTTTTGTATGTCGTAGAGTCCATTTTAAAAAGTAGAAAATTGGGAAAACATGTTTTAGATAGGTATTTATAATGACTTAAATGAATAAGAATTTTTACATCGCTATCTCAAACTTTTTTATTTTATCGACCCACCCTGGCTTTACACGGGTGCAATATATTATACATATAAATAAACCTTCTAAAAAAACGGCATCAAAATCCGTTGCGTAGTTTTAAAGATCTAAGCCTATAGAGGGACAGACAGACAGCGGGACGACTTTGTTTTATATTATGTAATGAATATAACGAATGTACAAATCAAAAACAATTAATATTTTTGAATATGGCGTTTGGATCAGAAATTTACATCTTAGTACAATAATTGATTTGTATTTTTATTAATATCTTAACTATCACGTTTCTAATATTATTTTAATGTATTTATCTCGTAATTTTGTATAAACCAAGCTTTGTTTCAAGAGTCGTATCTTGAAGTGTATTTTACTATTTTAATTCACAATTACATAAACAAGAATTAATGAACATATTTTGTTAAAGCAAACTTCTAGACTAATTTTATCCTGTAATTTAAATTTAACCCTAATTATGTCCCACCTTGACATGTTTCAGTCATTATGTTAAGGTTAGTAATGTATTTAAATGTTAAGATCGTGATTATATTTTGATAAAATTGTTATGATACCAGAGTAAACCATTAAGATAGACAATTGGCGGACCACTATGAACTTAGTTTAAAATGTATGTAATCTGTTGATTGTTGAAGGGTTTTATATAATGTACGTAATGAAAGATGTTTTTGTATTTATTTGAATACAATATTTTATCTCGATATAAACTGTTTTATTCTTAGCATGCATTATATATTAAGAATACATTTATTACTTAAATTTGTTATTCTTTGCGTGGAAGGATTTTTGTAAAAGAAAATTAATTGGTGACTTTAACAATCAGTTCTAATTTTACTTAAAAGTGTTAATGTCCATAAATAATATATGGACATTGAAAAAATTATTTTCGGTATATCACGTGCACATTCATAGTTAATATTTTTTTTGGTTTCAAAATATACAATGTTTATTGATCTAATAGTTAATTCATAATATATTTCATAGTACGGTAGATGAAATAATTTTAATAACATAATGCATAACATAACCATTGACGGTATACCGAACAGTTCACTATTTTATTACAGAATAAATGTTAACCAAGTTCCAAACGAAACTCGAAAACAGGATACAAGTTAGGAATACTTAAATGGGAAAACTACGATCTAGCAAATTCAAACATAAAGGTGTCCGCCAGCTCAATGTTTATGTCCGGGCGTTGTAAAGTCTTCGCAGTTGGAAACAAAATAGCAAAAACATTAACCGTCCGAGCGGTTCTAGAATGAACTGAGAAGCAGGATATGGCCACAATACCATACACGCTAATTAGCGGTTACACTATTCCTATGTTTTATAGATAGGCAGACGTCTACAACTTGCCGTGTCAGTGTGAAAAGTGCCCAGCCGCCTCGCTTTAGAGGGCATAAATTTCAAACAAATGTTTCTAGCTTTGCCGTGAGACGGCTTTAGAGGCTAGCAACATTTAAAACGGCCCCTTTCACCGTTCAATAAAGATCCACTTTTCTTGTTAACATACGATAGTTACTCGTATACGATGTTGCGAATATCCGCACTTGTCGCGTCGAGAAATCAAATTCACTTTCGATGTTCTCGCGAAGAAATTGTAGCAACGGCTTCTCCACCCACTTGTTTCTGATTTGTGCGGCCCGCGGCAACACCCACTTTTGTTAGCCAGCTAATAAACAAACCACTGAGATAACCAATTAATATTGAATCCTAAACCGACTCAATGCTCTCTACATGGCCTAGGAGGGAACAACTAATCGATTATTGGAAAAAGGAAATAATAGGATACAAGGGTAATAATAGAAACTTATTTCATACTTGGGTAGTAAGAATATTCTTACATATTTTATTCTACGATACAAGTTTTAGTGTGAAAAATTTATTTACTACTAGTGCAAACTCTTTTTGTGAATTGCATTAGCTTTGTCACTACTTCTAAATCTAACTATTTCTAAAATTTTCCATTACTTTAAAATAATTGTAATAATTCACTACAAATTTATGCAATTATTTTATAATTGGGTGCAACTTTATTAAATTCAATTAGAAAATTTTATCATCCACTTAACCGTAGACTGACGGATTCGTTTACAAAAAATATTTTGGAATTCATCTTTATTACATTCCCAGTTGCAATATAACTAAAGCACGATCTCAGTTCTACAAGGTTATTCAAGTGAATACAGAGCACACAAGGCAGAAAGCAGAATAACAGATTGATCTCGAACAAATCTAGCTACGGACTTGCATCACAAGGGGTTTGCAATGTAAAGCTGAGGTTTTACAGAGCCAGCCCCGCTAACAGAGTGAATATCTGAGGCCGAGGATAAATGTTACGTAATTAACGCTTTGTTGCACAAGCTTGTCTATCCCTCGCCCGGATTGATGGAGAACCACCCACCAGGTTTCAACGAGAGAGATTTAAATTACACCGCATTCATTCAACGTCCTGCCTACATCAATGCGATCATGGAGGTGATAAATGCCTCCCTTTTCAGAGTCTGTCAGAAATAGACGGCGCATAACGAACTGCTGTTTACAACCATACAGATAGCTGCGATCGATCGTATGAAATGCAGGCACGGCAAAACTGTTTGTTTCAGCACAAATAAAACTTTTGAAAATCAGTCTGACGCTTTAGAATGTAAATATTTTCGTAATTTGCTTCGGTCGTTATAAATGGCAGGTGTGAATATTGTTGATTGTATTAAGTAAAAAAGTGTAAATTAAAATGTGTCTAATTGTATAAAGTAGAAAGTGTAAGTAAAGTTACGGCCTATTCTATAAACTCTTTGCCGAGGATATTAGGGCAAAGTCCACTGTGATGGGCGGACTTCACCAATTTTTTCTTTAAAATGTTTTTCTTATTATTATTTCGGTTTCCTCTCGAAGTTTTCCTGTACCGCTCTGCTAAGCAAGTGATTAGTCAGCACATAAAATTGGAATGAACCATTTCCCGGCACTGCGATTTGGATTCGTTTTGCTCGAGTATTAAAAGCGAGTGACACTGAGCTCCCACGGTCGACGGTTGGTTGTGTTAGTTGGGTTAAATTATGCGTTTTGCGTTGGTTTATATTTGTTATTATGTTAGATAGTGACAAGCAAAAACTTAACGTCAGGTCAAGCGCTACTTTACTTCGCAACTCAACGGTTGCCGATAAATTAACAATCTTTAAAGCAATGGGTTCCGGTTACCTCACCATACAAAATTACAAATTACAAATTTAATATTTATGTACCTTTTTAACTAGTTAACTTAACTTCTTAAGTTCTTAGCAAAAAGCGTGCCAAATATTCAATTTTGATTGTAGTTGGCAGCCACGATCGATATGTATGTCTTATACTAATTGACAGTATGATTATAGAAAATCCCACTAGTAGACATGAGAAATCTTTTGATAGAAACTAGTTAAAAAAGCATCACACCAACAATGAACATTTATATCGAGGTCATCATTTCCTTATTTTGATGGTTTTTAATTTGTATTTGTAACATACTTTAGTGTTTATTATCTTGATTGTGTACATTGGTTGGAGAGGTCCATAATTACTAAAATATAAGAATTGATCTAAACATAATTGAAAATTGAAACTGATTCACGATACCATAAGTCTTGACATAATTTTAAACCATCATCATTTCAGTCTGATCGAGACCACTGCTGAACATATGCCTCGCACACAGACTGTCATAAAGAACGATCCATATATTGAACCATAATAACGAACCATAATATTTGTCTGTTTTAGATGTGGCTATGAATTCTTCGTAAATCTGATTTCGATGCGTATTTAAGTCTAAAACTATTTTATAAATATTCTTAAATGACACGAAATCAATTACTCAAACATTTTTATTTATGTTTAAAATATTAGTTTTTATAAGTCTGTCTAATGGTTATTCAATTTTTAAATTGATTCATTAATTCAAAACAGCTATAAATTGTATTGCATACGACTATTACTACACAGCAGCCTTCGCTATAAAATTACGAGTAAAATCAATTTACGTCCAGGTGCATTAGCTATTGAATTCTGAATATTTTTGATGAACACATCTGTAACGCGTTGCCGCTCATTCCGAGCCGTCGGATTTGACGCTCACGGCATAATAAACTACGGAAATATTAATATTATACAACATTCCTGCATGCCGTATTATAGAGATTAGATAATGTAATCGAATCTCGACGAAATATTTCCCCATTAGTGGGAATATTCTATCTTCGACTCTATTAGATAGGGACTATTGTCTCGATTGGCTTAAATTATTAGACCTTTGTGCACTTCTCGTTGTAGCTGCACTTCAAGCTATCTTCGGGCTTATACACGATGATATAAAGATTAAATTCACGGCAGGCTGAACG